CAGCATCTGTGAAGGAAAGAACAGAGTTAACATTTCGGGTCCGGTGACCCTTCCTCGGAGCGTTAACTCTGTTTTTTCCCTTCACAGACGCTGCCAGACCTGCTGAGCTTTTCCAGCAACTTTGTTTTCGTTCCTGATTTACAGCATCCGCAGTTCTTTCTGTTTTTATGTTGTGATTGTGTAACTGTTGTAGATTGTTGTAAAAACCCAGCTGGTTCACTAATGTACTTTAGGAAAAGGAATCTGCCATCCTCACTCAGCCTGGCCTGCATGTGACTCCAGACTTATTTGTGGTTGACTTTCAAGTACCCTCTGCAATTGCTCCAGTATTTCAAGGACAATTAAAGATGGGCAATAAATACTATCCCAGCCACTGAGTCCATTGAAAAGAAAGCTGTGATGCTGTGAAAGACTGGCTGGGATTGAGCCCAAAAATGGAAAAAATCCCCAACCACTGCAATTGCTGGAAACTGTTTTACATTTCAAATAACAACTGTCTCAGGAGTAGCACACATCATGTGGTCAAAGCAGGAACCGGGAGCTGAAGCTCTGATCCATTTCCACCACATAACAACATTACAACTGAAGCAAAAACAGAAATTGCTGGTGAACTTCAGCAGCTCCGACAGCAAAGCAGGCAGAGCGAACGTTTCTTGTCTGTTGACAGAGCTTCGGCAATTTCTGTTTTTGCTTCAGATCTCCAGCACCCGCAGTTCTTTGTTTTATTATGACAATGGATACAGTCTCACATTCCCAGGGACCTCTCGGTTCGCACTAAACAACTGCACCTCCCAGTCATGAACCATTTCAACTGCCCCTCCCATTCCTCAGACGATATGTCCGTCCTGGGCCTCCTGCAGTGCCACAACGATGCCACCCGAAGGTTGCAGGAACAGCAACTCATATTCCGCTTGGGAACCCTGCAGCCCAATGGTATCAATGTGGATTTCACAAGTTTCAAAATCTCCCCTCCCCCTACCGCATCCCAAAACCAGTCCAGCTCGTCCCCGCCTCCCTAACCTGTTCTTCCTCCCACCTATCCCCTCCTCCCACCTTAAGCCGCACCCGATCTCCTACCTACTAATCTCATCCCGCCCCCTTGACCTGTCCGTCCTCCCTGGACTGACCTATCCCCTCCCTAACTCCCCACCTACACTCACCTCTACTGGCTCCATCCCCACCTCTTCGACCTGTCTGTTTCCTCTCCACCTATCTTCTCCTCTATCCATCTTCTATCCGCCTCCCCCTCTCTCCCTATTTATTTCAGAACCCCCTTCCCCTCCCCCTTTTCTGATGAAGGGTCTAGGCCCAAAACGTCAGCCTTCCTGCTCCTATGATACTGCTTGGCCTGCTGTGTTCATCCAGCTCTGCACCTTGTTGTCTCGACCTCTTACCTGTCCATGCTTTGCGTTTTCACAGACAAATGTTTTGTATGGAACCGGGAATTCTGGGGGATGATCATTGACATCGAGAACCTGGATATGCACCAAGACTGAAGTCACTTTCTTCACGTTACCTGGAGGAAATGTGAAGAATCGAGAGGATGAGGATCAAGTGTCTGTTCACTTATGTCTGCAGATCTTTCCTGCAAAGTGAGTCCATCAGTTTTCATTAGGGCAATGGTGTCATACTGGTAAGACTGCTGGCCTAATAATCAAGCCATTCAGGTTAATGCTTTGGTGCATAAAGCATTGAACAGTACAGTACAGTAACAGGCCCTTTGGCCCACATGTCTGTGCTGACCATGATGCCAGTCTAAATTAATCCCATCTGCCTGCACATAATCCCTATCCCTCTATTCTCTGGCTGCTCAAGTGTCTGTTTAAGTGCCTCTTAAATGTTGCTATTGTAGATGTGGGTCCGAATCCCACCAGGGCAGTTTTACAGGACTTGGTTTCAGTTCATTTCTTCCAAAAAATGTGGAATATAAAGCTTCTCTAAGCAATGTTAACCATAAAAGCAATAATTGAATCAAAAACAGAAAGTGCTGGAAAAGTCCAATAATTTTGGCAGCTACTGTGGAGAGAAAAACAAAGTTAATATTTCGAGTCGGGTGACACTTTGTCAGAGCTGAAAATATCTGGGAAAGGGCGGTATTTATGGTGATGTTAGCAAACAAACAGATCATTGATGGTAAGCCGAGAAAGAGATAAATGCTAGTTAGGGTACTAGTGGGAAGGTAAATGGGAACAAAATGAGCTGGCTTTGCTGAAGGCCAGCCGTCAAAATAAGAAATGGAGTGTGTTGGAGGGATGGTGAAATAACTATACAGAGGTCAGTAACCCTTCACCAGGTCAGCCTTTATTTACATGTGGAGAGTCCTTGACACTGATCCAGCTCCCTCAGAGCCAGCTCTCAGAGTGAACAGAGCCTCTGACACTCATGTTTATATCTGTCAGCCAGGGCTCCCTGATTGGACCAGATTAACAGCCCCAATCAGGGGACTCATATTCTATGAGTTCCGGGATAACAAGATGTAGAGCTGAATGAACACAGCAGGCCAAGCAGCATCACAGGAGCAGGAAGGCTGACGTTTCGGGCCTAGACCCTTCATCAGAAAATGTCTGAGTTCCACCTGGCTGACCTCGTTACAATCACTTCAGAGGGTAACAAACATAGAAAGAGGGTGAGGGGTGTTTACATTCTGAAACTGTGATAATGCTGAGTCCTGAGGGCTGTAAAGTTCTTAGGTGGACAATGAGGTGTTGTTTCTCTAACTTGTGTCGGGCTTTGATGCAGCAGGCCTGAGACAGAAATGCTGGCCAGGCTATACAGGTACTTGCAACATCAACGTCATTGTGGTCCTTTGGATACAGAGGCTTGTGTGGTAGAAAGTGAGGACCAAGGGGATTGTATTGTAGGGGAGAGGAGGGAATGATTGAATATCAAAATCAGGGGTCACCCATTTAAAACACAGGCTTAGTGAATTTTGTTTTCTTAGTGAGTCATGAGTTTTTAAAAACAATCATTTATGGGATATGTTGGTCACTGGCAAGTGCCAGCATTTGTTGTCCATCCCTAATTGCCCCTAAACTGAACAGCTTGCTGGGCCATTCCAGGCAGTAAATAAGAGTCAACCACATGTTTATAGGTCTGGAGTAAAATGGAGACCAGGGAAAAATAGCTGATTTCTTTCCCTGAAGCTAGCTTTTTACTAAACTCCACATTGTATTGAATTAACGTTTCCCTAGCTGCCTTGATAGGATTTGATCCCATGTGTCCAGAATATCACCCGAGAGCTCTGGATTACTAACCTGCTGTTATTGCCAATGCACCACTGCCTTCCTCAAAAGGTTGCCTCAAATCTTTTGAACTCTCTTTTTGGTGTTTGCAGATTTCCCAAACATTTGCAAGGCAGAGGTAGACAGATTCCTGATCAGCAAAGGTGAGGAATGCTTTGGAGGTAGACAGAAAGGTGGATTTGTTGTTACAATCAGATGAGACATCATCTCATTGAATGGTGGAATGGGTTTGAACAGCTGAATGGCCAACTCTCGTATGTAATTCCTATGGATGTGATACCCTTTCACGGAAGGAAATCTGCTATCCTTACCAGGTCTGATCTACATGTGGACACACAGCAATGTGGTTGACTTGTAATTGCCTTCTGTTATAGCTGAGGAAGCTACACTGTTCGTATATAGGCCTTTGCCAGCAAGGACCAAATTCCAGGAAAGAATAACATTCCAAATCCTTGCACATTCTCTGCAATTGTCTTGTGGTTCTTACCAAAAAAACATTGTTGATTCATACAAAATAGAAGAAGGCAAATTATTTTCAATAGAGAGGAAGAACAATGCAGTCAACACTCTTTGGGTCTTTTGAGACGAAGCAGGCAGTTTAATTTGATACAATCAAAGAATTAAAATATTATTATAATAAAACTACACCAATGTTGGTGATATTTGTGCTACTGTAATGTCATTATTTGATTTGGCATTAAAAAAAAAATAAATTGACAGAAAGAGATTCTGAAAGAATTTTTAAAAGAGCTGATGTGTTGAAATTCTATCGTTTTATACTTAGCGTGTTTGCAATAAAATGCTCTGCTGAATAGACATAGTTTTGATCTGTTGGCTTTTAAAGTTAATGGAAACATTCAGCTGTCTTCATGAGTATAGTCCTGAAACAATTTATGAAACTTTGGGAGCAAAATAAAAAAAAAGGCAGATTATTATCTGAATGTCTTTAAGTTGAGAGATGAAAATATTCAATGAGATCTGGGTGTCCTTGTGCACTAGTCACTGGAAGTGAGCATGTAGGTGCAGTAGGTAATAAAGAAGGCGAACTGTATGTTGGCCTTCATTGAGGGAGGATTTGAATACTGGGGCAGAGATGTTTGTTGCAATTATATGGGACATTTGTGAGGTAACATCTGGAATATTGCGCGCAATTTTCATCTCATTAGAAGAGGATGTTCTAACTATAGAGGGAGTGCAGCAAAGGCTCACCAAACAGCCTTTACTGTTTCCATTAACAGCAGCACTGATATATGAGGAGATGGATTAGTAGTTAGCAATGCTGCCTCACAGTGCCAGGGACCTCAGGTGACTGTCTGTCTGGAGTCTGCGCATTCTCACTGTGTCTGCGTGAGTTTCCTCCCACTGTCCAACGATGGGCAGGCGAGGTGGATTAGCCACGTTAAATTGGTGACAGTGTGCAGGCTAGGTAAATTGGTCATGGGAAATGCAGCATTACAGGGATAGGATGGAGGGAGTGGGGTTGGGTCTGAGTGGGATGCTTTTCAGAGGGGCAAGGTGGATTTGATGGGCCGATTGGCCTGCTTCCACACTGTAAGGATTCTATGACTGAGTCAGTTAGGATTTATTCATAATAAAGGGGGAATCTCATAGGAACCTACACAATTCTAACAGGACTAGGCAGGTTAGATGCATGAAGGCTGCAGGGGAGTCCAGACCAGGGGTCATAGTTTAAGGATGAGGAATAAATGTTTTAGGACTGATATGAGAAGAAATTTCTTCACCCAGACAGTGGTGAGCCTGTGGAATTCACCACCGCAGAAAGTTATTGTGGTCCAAAACATTGTGTTTTCAAGGAGGAGTTGGATATAGCTCTTGTGGCTAAAGGGACCCAAGTATATAGGGAGGAAGGTAGGATTAGGGTATTGAGCTTAATGCTCAGCCATGATCGTATTAAATGACAAAGCAGGCTCGAGGAGTTTAATGGCCTGCTCCAAATTCTATGTAAACACCGTGTTTGTTTTGTCAGAACTTTCTTTCTTTCAATTGTCAATAACGAGGATTGCCATTCCCTTCTTTAAGACATTGTATTCGTTCACCGGCTTCCCAGGCACAGACAGTGAAACAAAAAGGGAAAGTTTCCATAGTCATACCGGGCGATAGGACTACTGTCACATTAAAGAGAGATAACTGGTGGTGGTTTAGCCTGAGGGTCACCGTGCCTCAGGTGGGCTAAGCGGTTGAGAAGGAGAGTCCCTCATGGTAACCTCAGCCATAGTGGAAACTGAACACTGTGATGCTGGCATCACTGTGCAGCATCAAACCAACCACCCCGCTAATTGGATGTTGTCTACATGGATTTTAGTAAGGTCCCTCATGGTAGGCTCATCCAGAAGGTGAAGATGCTTGGGATCCACAGTGACTTGGCCTCGTGGATTCAGAATTGGCTTACCCATAGAAGGCAGAGGGTAGTCGTGGAAGTGTGTTTTTCTGGCTGTAGGTCAGTGACTAGTGGTGTTCTGCAGGGATCCATACTGGGACCTCTACTGTTTGTGATATATATATGTGACTTAGATGAAAATGTAGATGGGTGGGTTAGTAAGTTGGCACACAACACAGAAACTGGAGGAGTTGCGGATGGTGTAGAAGGTTGTCAAAGGATACCGTTGCAGAATGGGCGGAGAAATGGCAGACGAGGTTTAATCCGGATAAGTGTGAGGTGCTGCACTTTGGGAGATCAAATGTTAAGGAAAAGTATACAGTTAATGGCAGGACCCTGAACAGCATTGATGTACAGAGGGATCTTGGGGTTCAAGTCCACAGCTCCCTGAAAGCAGCCACACAGTTAGGAAGGTGTATGGTATGCTTGCTTTTATTGTACTCAATTCCCTGAACAAGAGTCAGGATCTTATGTAGCAGCTTTATACGACTTTGGTTAGGCTACACTTAGAGTATTGCATTCAATTCTGGTCGCCACATTACAGGAAGGATGTGGAAGCTTTGGACAGGGTTCAGAAGAGGTTTACCAGGATGCTGTCTAGATTAGAAGGTATGACCTATAAGGAGAGGCTAGAAAAACTAGGGTTGTTTTCCCTTGAGTGACGAAGGCTGAGGGGAGACTTGATAGAAGTCTATAAAATTATGAGATGCATAGATAGGGTTGACGGTCAGAATCTTTTTCCCAGAATTGAAATGTCTAATACTAGGGGTCATGCATTTATGGTGAGAGGCAGACAGTTCAAAGGAGATATGAAGGGCAAGTTTTTTACACAAAGAGTGGTAGGAGTGTGGAACGCGCTACCAGAGGTGGTGGTAGAGGCAGATACGATAGGGACATTTAAGGGACTTTTAGATAAGCATATGAATATGCAAGGAATAGAGAGATATAGACCAACGGCAGGCAGAAGAGATGAGTTGGATTTTGCATCATGTTCGGAAAAACATCATGGGCCTAAGGCATCATTCCTGTGCTGTACAGTTCTATGTTCTAGTTGACCCAGCTGGATGGCTGGTCCACGATATGGAGTAATGCCAACAGCACTGGGTTCACTTCCGACTCTGGCTGAGTTGCCGTAAAGTCCAATTTGACTCTGTCCCATCAGAACAGATCAGTTTTAAAAATAAAAAAGTGTTCTTTCAAGGTTTTAGGGCATTGTGGTGTTGTGGTATTATGCCTACCCATGAAACGTTAGGCCATGGTTCAGCTCCCACCTGCCCTGGAGATGAACAAAGTTGACTTGGAAATATCTAAACCACCTGTCACCCCTCTCCAATGAGACAGTAGGACAGTAAAAGTAGATCCATTCAGATAAATTGATTCTGAGCACTTTGGTTTTGGTGTGGGGGTTTGGTTCGCTCAGTTGGCTGGATGGCTGGTTTGTGATGCAGAGTGATGTCAACAGCATCCGTTCAATTCCCACACCAGCTGAATTTTCCATGAAGAATTCTCATTCTCAACATCTCCCCTTAACTGCAGTGCAGTGACCCTCAGGTTAAACTATCACCAGCTCTCTCTCTCTCTCTACTGAGAGAGCAGTCCTCTGGGACGGTAGTAAATTGACTTTACCTTTGCCGTGTGGTTGGAGTGTAGGGGTTTGTTTGGGGCTGTCCAGTTTCCCAGCAGATCATGGATTCAAACAGTGAACTTCTATGACTGAACTCTTTAATTCCAAGGTCAGAAATCACACGACATCAAATTATAGTCCAACAGGTTTCTTTGAAAACACAAGCTTTCATAGCCTTGCTCCTTCTTCAAGTGTTTGTGAGAGAGGTGGAATCAGACACAGAATTTATCAGTAAAAGATCAAAGGATCACACCACTGATGAGGATGTATTGAACAATCCTAAGATGCTGTGTTTTGGCACAATTTCTAGACAGTCAGTCAATGTGGCGCTTTATAAATTCCTACTTTAGAAATAAAACCAGTCTGGAGTCTGACTCCAAACCAAAACACAAACAGATTCTAAACCAAGGCCTCACACCTAACATGCAGTGTCTGACCTAAAATGTCACCTCTTCTTTACACTATTAAAACCTTTAGTTATCTTGGGGCAGTGACTTGGAAGGAATTTGTGGATTTACACATCCATATTAATCAATTAAAACCTTCTAACTGATTAAAGATCTAACAGCATCTTACATTCATTTAATACATCCTCATCAGTGGTGTGAACCTTTGATCTTTTACTGATAAATTCTGTGTCAGATGCCACCTCTCTCACTAACATTTGAAGAAGGACCGAGGCTCCGAAAGCTTGTGTTTTCAAATAAACCTGTTGGACTATAACCTGGGGTTGTGTGATTTCTTACCTTGTCCAACCCAATACAACACTTGCAATGCCACATCTTTAGATAGAGCCAATTATCTTCATACATTGGACTTTCATGTAGGATCAGAGCTTCTGGTTCCTCGCTGATCTCTCTACATGGTCATGTGATTTCAATACTACCACCATGGATCACTCTGATGTGAATCAACAATTTCTTTGAACAGCATGAGGCACCTAATTCTGGAATCACCACTTTAATCCTCTCCACCTCACTACCTTTCTTTCCTTAAGATACTTGACTTCCTTAAGTCTTTTGACTTAGGAAGACCACGGCTTGATATTAAGTATTATGTGTAAATACTCCTGCAAAGCATCTTCGGAGGTTATATTATGTTGAAGGTGCGAAAGGTGATGGGGTGGGGGTATCTCACAGAAACTAATAAAATTCTAATAGGATTAGACAGGAATGATGCTCCCAATGACTGGGATGTTTAAAGATATGGGGTGAATCATTCAGGACTGAGATGAGGAGAAATTTCTTCACCCAGAGAGTGATGAGCCTGTGGAATTCTCTACTGCAGGAAGTGGTTGAAGCCAAAACACTGAATGTTTGCGAGAAGGAAACAGATCAAGTTCTTAGGGCTAAAGGGATCAAAAGGTATGGCGGAAGAAAGTGAAAAACAGGGGACTGAGTTAGATGATCAGCTATGATCATACTGAGTGGTAGAGCAGGCTGGAGCAGGTTGCTGGCTCCTATTTTGTGTGTTCCTCTAAAAAAACATAATTTTTTTATTGTTGTTCTGGACAATTTGTTTTTGATGTGATTCATAGTTTAATGAATAAATTCAGGACTATTGTTTTGGTCTGGCAGCGTTGATAGCTTTTTCCTGTCAAAGCTCAGCCAATCAGCCTGCACAGGCTTTGAACATTGACCTGTGTAGATGCTCTCTCAATTAAAGTTATTTTCTGAGTGTACTGGGAGACAGTTCTCTTCACAAATTTTAACAATGTGCAAGGTCACGAGAGAGAAAGATGTACTCAGAATCTCGGATGACCTGAAGTTAATGATTGGAGCCTTGGATCATCCATTATGTAAGACAGGATCTCAGAAGTGTTACAGTGTAGTGCCCACTGTGTCGCATCTGCTCTTCAAATCTTTACCTTATGCCAATCTCCTACGTTGTTCTGAAACCTTTGCACATTGGTTATCTGGATAAAAACATTGACTGTCCCTCTTGAATGCCTCATTTGAACCTGCCTTTACCACATTTCCAGGCAGTGCATTCTATACCTAAACTACTCGCTGTGTGAAATGATTTATTTTTCTCACATCATCCTTGCTCCTTTTACAGATCACTTTCAATCCATGCCCTCTTGTTCTTGCTCCTTTTTATGAGTGGTAATAACTTCTCCCTACCTATTCTATCCAGTCCACACATGAATTTGAAAACCTCTACCAAATCTCCGCTCAGCCTTCTTCTCTCCAAGATGATTATTCCTAACTTCTTCAATCTATCCTCATAACTGAAATTTCTCATTCCTGGAACCGTTATTCTAAATTGCTTCTACACTTTCTCTAATGCATTCACATCTTTCCTATAATGTGGTGCCCACAATGGTCCAGCTGAGGTCCATCAGAAGTCTTATACAAGTTCAGCATCATCTCACTGCTCTTGTACTCTATACATATTTTATTTGTAGGAAGTAAAGTGGGGTGAAAAATAAATCGCAGTGATAGAATGAACTTAATTTCACAAGACACAGCTGTGAAGACAATTGAAATTGGAGGAAATAAATTTATGCAGAAAATGCATATTTCTTTTACGGCTTGTAATTTGGCAATTAGACAGGGCAAACAAAAGAGAAGTAAATGCTTGACCTAGAAATCTAGCATTCTGTCAGGATGCATCTCAGCTTGGTACGGCAACAGCTCTGCCCAGGACTGTAAGAAACTGCAGAGTTGTGAACACAGCCCAATCCATCATGCAAACCAGCCTTCCATCCATTGACTCAATCTATACTTCTTGCTGCCTCAGGAAGGCAGCCAACATCAACAAAGGCCCCTCCCACCCCGATATAATCTCTTCCAACCTCTTCCATCAGGCAGAAGATACAAAAGCTTAAACAACATGTCCTCACAGATTCAAGAACAGCTTCATCCCTTTGTTATTAGACTTCTGAATGGACTTCTCAAATTTCAAATTTAATGTTGATCTCACTCTTGTGCACCTTCTCTGCAGCTGTACCATTGTATTCCTCACTCTTTCTATTACCCTAATGCACTTTGCATGGAATGATCTGCCTGTACTGCATGCAAAACTTTTCACTGTATCTATGTATGGGTGACAATAATAAATCAAATCAAACCAAACCAGAGGAGGCTATGCAGACCCTTGAACTGTCAACCTTTGCACAGGATCACAACTGATCTGTACCTCAACTCCACCTGCCCACATTGGTTCTGTACACTTTGATGTTTGTGTCCATCCGGAACTGATTAACTGATGGAACCAATGGTGATAACATTGGTTTGAAATAAACAAACTGAGCATGAGAGATTACTATGAGAAACATTGAATAGCTTACAAGGAAAATGGAAAAATAATACATGTTATTTGATGAATTTCAGACGAATGCAGCAAAGACTTACTTGCTTCTGATGCTGAGATGGTTAAATTGTACCAAGGGACCTCCTCGCGGTCAAGGGGTTGAGATGTGGTTATGGTTCCATTCTTTGGATCAATGTTAAAGGTTCTGTCACTGTGATGATCAATGGAATACCTGCACAATTCACACAGAAGAATTCAGATTTGACCTGTTTCATCTCCATAATCTGATTCCAGAATGTCAATACATAAATGCTGGTGGAAAGAATATTGTGTGTAATCTCAACCTAGCAGAAACTTCCAGCAAAATGCATTTGCCCACAAGCATTTGATTCACTCGCGTCCATCAAGTCTCCTTCCATGGGGGTTGGTGTTTCAGCAGCCTAAGCTATCTGTGAAATGTCGCAAATTTCAGACATGGTGAGCCATGTCACCTACATGGTGTGTAGCCAGGGCCAGGTACAGACTGGAAGCTAGGTCCCAGCATGGTCTGTCGTATTGTACTTTTATTTCTGTAATGCTGGACATTTTATCTCTCTCTTGTCTAAGATCTTGTAACTAAAGAAGCTGTGCCTAGATACTTTAAGTCGGCACTGTAATTGGCGACACATAAACTTTTCACTTTACTCATTGAGTATATATGACAATAAAGGCTATTCTGTTCTACTATATTCAGAATTCCCTCAACATTTCCCGAATATCAATTATGAGAAGAGCAGAAAAACCCAAGTTTGAAGGATTCAGGAGCTATTCAAGTGACCTATTCCTCACCCACACAGATTTTTTTCTATAAAGACAGATGGTTCTCGAGCAATTTCACCTCATCTACAGGGCAGGTTATCTGAGACTGCACAAAGTTCCATAACAAGTTCTGTTGTAGATAGAACATTGGGCAGACGGTACTTTGAGTTTGATGCGCCATTTCCATAGATGTAAAACATGAAATGGTGGTAACTCCTCTTTTGGAACTATTAGTACAGTTTTTATTGCCAAAGGCAGTTCAACCATGTGTGCATGCATGTCTAGGTACCAACTGAGATCACCATGAAGGTCCACCCTCAGGTCAAACTTATCATTCTTTAATGAGAGAGCAGCTCTATGGTCCTCTGGTACTATGGCAAATTTACCTGCATACACTTCTAGGATGTGTCATGCCAGATTCCATACTGGGGAAGGGGTTAGACACCATACAGTGGAAGTAGAGAGGTCATAACACAGTGATCCCACAATGCTGACTTGATACCTGGGCTGTCATTATGGAGTGTAATGCTTCAGCTAATTCCCTTTTGTATCATAGATAACTGAACAGGAGGAGTGATTGGCCAACAATGTACAGGCTAATTTGTGGTATTTTTTTTTCTGACTGTTGCGATGACTCCAGGTGCTTTTGGGGAGTGGTGTGGTAGTGACGAAGGATGTTTTGCTCCCTTCTGCACTGAGGTATTGTTCCCAGACAGGGTTGGATCAGTTGCTGTTCCGCCTTGAATGAAGCTTGACAGAAGAATCAGAGAGTGCTCCCAGAGTTGGAAGCGTCCCTGGAAAAGAGACGGCAATGGGAGAGGACCCTCACCCTGAGGAAAGGGTTGGGGGTCAGGATGCACGTTACCTACCTGAGTCTTAGCGAGGAACAAAGGGTCAGACATCTACACTTTATGAAGATCGTCATCATAGAACATAGAACAGAAACAGGCCCTCTGTTACATTTCTAAACTAAGCCAGCCAGCTTGCCTGCACATGGTCCACATGCCTCGATTCTCTGCCTGTTCATATGCATCTGTTTAAATACTTCTTCAATATTGCTCTCATCATTGAAATGCTGCCCCAGCTGTTGACTCAGAGATTGGCGAGGGGAGCATTGATGCTGTCTGTGAATGTGGCTGGAGGCACAAATATTTAGGCAGCCATTTTCTAGACAATACCATGTGATATTTGCAACATCTTCCAACCTGCTGCTTACTGCTGCAGCTTGAGGTCTCTGTTAGTGGCAAAATCCTTACAGGATGTGGGTATTGCTGGCTAAGCTAACATTTATTGCCTAGAAGGTAATTTATTGCTGTGGGTCTGGAGTCACATGTAGAATAGAAGATCTTATTTCCTAAAAAGACATCAGCAATTTTTATGACAATCAACGGTGGCTGCATGGTCACCATTAAACTGGCTTTCTATTTCAGAGATAACAAGGTGTAGAGCTGGATGAACACAGCAGGCCAAGCAGCATCACAGGAGCAGGAAGGCTGACGTTTCGGGCCGAGACCGAATCTATTTCAGATTTTGTTTTAAATTAAATTCAAAAATTTCTACCCACCACATGCCCCTACAGCATTCACCCAGGGTTCATAGATTACTAGTCCAGTGGCTTCACCACTATTGAAGGCCATTCACTGGTTCCATTCTCAGGGCAATACTGTGACCAATCAGAGTCAATCTGCCGAGTTTAAAGGTTAAAATAATAGTTGGCAGTTAACTGTTAATCAGGATTAATGGGTGCCTTATCAATGGCAATACCTCTACCAGTCAGAGAGCAACCAATCAGCACTCTCCTCACTTGCAGTATAAATGCTGATTTTTCCCCTTGTGTTTATATTCTTGCAAACCCCCTTGAGTGCAAGGTGAAAATCTCCAGCACAGTGTTTCTCCCTTTCAGGGATATCTCAATGACTTGGATGAGGGAACCCAATGAAATATTACCAAGTTTGTTAACAACGTGAAAATAGGTGATATTGTGAGTCATGTGGACCATGTAAAGAGGCTTCAGATGGTGATTTATGCAAGTTGAGTGAGTGGGCTATTGCATTATTACTGCCCCATCAGTCTACTCTCGATCATCAGTAAAGTGATGGAAGGTGTCAGTAACAGCGCTATCAAGCAGCACCTGCTCAGCAATAACCTGCTCAGTGATGCCCAGTTTGGGTTCTGCCAGGACCACTCAGCTCCTGACCTCATTACAGCCTTGGTTCAAACATGGACAAAAGAGATGAATTCCAGAGGGGAGGTGAGAGGGACAGCCCTTGACATCAAGGTTGCATTCGACCGAGTGTGGCATCAAAGAGCCCTGGCAAAACTGGAATCAATGGGTATCGGGGGCAAACGCTCCGGTGGTTGGAGTCATACCTGACACATAGGAAGATGGTTGTGGTTGTTGGAGGTCAATCATCTCAGCTCCAGGACATCTCTGCAGGAGTTCCTCAGGGTAGTGTCCTAGGCCCAACCATCTTCAGCTGTTTCACCAATGACCTTCCCTTCATCATAAGGTCAGAGGTGGGGATGTTCGCCGATGATTGCACAATATTCAGCACCATTCATGACTCCTCAGATACTGAAACAGTCCGTGTTCAAATGCAACAAGATCTGGACAATATCCAGGCTTGGGCTGACAAGTGGCAGGGGACATTCGCGCCACACAAATGCCAGGCTATGACCATCGCCAATAAGAGACAATTAACCACCGCCCCTTGACATTCAATGGTGCTACCTTCACTGAATGCCCCACTATCAACATCCTGGGGGGGTCACATTGACCAGGAACTCAACTGGACTCTCCTCATAAACACAGTGACTACAAGAGCAGGTCAGAAGCTGGGAATACTGCGGTGAGTAACTCACCTCCTGACTCCTCAAAGCCTGCCCACCATCTACAAGGCACAAGTCAGGAGTGTGATGGAATACTCCCCACTTGCCTGGATGAGTGCAGCCCCAACAACACTCAAGAAGCTTGACACCATCCAGGACAAAGCAGCCCGCTTGATTGGCATTGTATTCACAAATATCCACCCCCTACCACCAATGCTCAGTAGCAGCAGTGTGTACCATCTACAAGATACACTGTATAAATTCACCAAAGATCCTCAGACAGCAACTTCCAAAACCATGACCACATTCATCTAGAAGAAGGACAAGGACAGCAGATATATGAGAACACCATCCCCTGCAAGTTCCCCTCTAAGCCACTCACCATCCTGACTTGGAAATACATCGCCGTTCCTTCACTGTTGCTGGGTCAAAATGATGGAATTCCCTCCCTAACAGTACTGTGGGTCAACCCCACAGCAGGAGGACTGCAGCATTTCAAGAAGGCAGCTCACCACCACCTTCTCAAGGGCAACTAGGGACTGGCAATAAATGCTGGTCTGCCAGCGGCACCCACATCCCACAAATTAATAGAAAAAATGTTGTATAATGTGGATAATTGGGAAGTTGTCCACTTTGGTAGGAAAAACAGAATTGTGAAGCATAACTTAAATTGTGTTGCATTGGAAAATGCTGATGTAAAAGGGGACCTGGGTTTCCTTGTGCACCAGTCAATGGAAGCTACTATGCAGGTACAGCAAGCAGTTCAGAAGGCAATTGACAGGCTGGCATTAATTGCAAGGGTTTTTGAGTACAACAGCAAGGAGTACAGTTGCACAGGGTCCTGGTGAGACCATATTTGGAGTGTTGTGCATGGTTATGGTTTCCTTATCAAGGAGGTAATGCAGCAAAGATTCACCGGATTGATTCAGATTGGCGGATTTGTCGTAAGAGGAGAGATGACATCAACTGAACCCATATATACTGGAGTTTAGGAGAAGGAGAGAGGACCTCGTTGAAAAATATTTAGGCAAGCATATCTCTGGTCTCTTTATCCAAATCATTTATATAAATTGTAAAACAAAAAAATACTCTAGCACTGATCCTTGTGCCAGACCATTCATTACATCTTGTTAACCAGAAAGTGACCTTTTAATGTCTACGGTCTGTTTATTGTTGGCTAGCCAATCTTCTACCTATGCCAATATGTTACCCACTACTCCACGAGCTTTTATTTTCTACAAAAAACCTTTCATGTAATACTATCAAATGCCTTCTAGATATCCAAGTACAGTATAACCAGTGGAGCCTCTTTATCCACAAAAGTACTTCAACTTCTAGCTACTTTTCTCTTGTCTGATTTTCCCTTATGATTAAACTCCCTTGGTGTTTTTGTTATTCTGTCCAATAATCTTCTGACTCACTGGCCTTTCCATAATTATATTTTCATTTAAGTTTGATACTATCTTTAACCTTATTTAGTTAACCACACTTGGTAGGTCGTCTCTTTGGACTTTTTCCTTTTTTATCAGAATGTAACTGTTTTTCTTTTGAAATATCACCTTAAATGTCCTCCATTTCACCTCTATTGACCTATCTCTTAATCTTATGCCAGTTGACTTCAACTATTTCTGCTTTCATGTCCACATAATTGCCCTCATTTAAGTTTAAAATACTAGTCTTGGACCCACTTTTCTGTTTCTCAAACTGAATGTAAAATTCAACCATATCATGATCACTGGTGGCTTCACTATGGGGTTATTAATTAATCCTGTCACATTACACAAAATCAGGATTGGAATAGCATACTCTCTATCGGTGGCTTCAGCAAATGTTGTTCTAAGAAACTATCGCAGAAACATTCGATGAACTCCTCAACTAGGCTTCCTTTGCCTGTCTTACTTTTCTACTCCACATGTAGATTTAAGTCTCATGAAAACAGAAATTGCTGGAGAAACTCAGCAGGTCTGACAGTATCTGTGGAGAGAAAACAAGAGTTAACATTTTGAGCTCAGTGACCCATTCTGTGCAGGTTGAATTTAGGGGAAGTCCTTGAAGCTAATAAGTGCAGGTAAATGTTGGAGCTCATGTCAAGGAAAATCCCGCAAGCTGTGAGTCTCAGAAGGCACAATTGTTACAAAAAAAATCATTCATGGTTGTGGACATTGCTGACTAGGCCAGCATTTATTGCCCCATTTCTAACTGTAAGAGGGCAGTTTCATGTCAACCACATTGCTGTGGGTCTGGAGTCCTACTTTGGCCAGGCCAGATAAGGACAACAGTTTCCTTCTCTGAAGGACATTAATTAACCAGGTGGGTTCTTTCCCCCCAACAATTGACAATGGTTTCATGGTCATCATTAGGCTCTTTATTCCAGACTTTTTTTTAATTGAGTTCAAATTTCCAACATCTGTCATGGTCTCTAGAATATTACTTGGATCACAGACAAACTGTGATTAAACTCCTCCTAGGGCCCATCAAATTGCAAATGCAGCCTGGACAGATTCTATGGTTGCTCAGCAGCTATACTCCCCCTATACTCATCCCTACTCGTACTCCCAAGACATTAGCGACGCTGTGGGTCATAAAATCTCATCAAATCTTCACAAGGAATTTGCAATTGTTAAAACATAGAACAGTACAGCACAGGAATAAGTCTAATAGTCCACCATGTCTGTGCCAACCATGATGCCATTCTAATCTAATCCCATCTGCCCGTACGTCTTTATTAAGGAGCGAGCTTCAGAATTTGCCCAAAAGCCACATCCTCATGGACAGACTGAATGACTGTTGACATTCTGATTGTTTGGTTTCTGTGCCTGCTTCTATGCTCACCTCTCCAGGGTAATTTCCTGGTCTCTAATCACACAAAGCTCTGCCAAGCCCATCCTCCTTATGGCCTTTATCAACCCACACTCTCAGCTTCACTAAAGGAGAGTGGATGGCCCAGTGGTACTATCGCTATTGATCCAGACATCCAAGTAATATTCTAGAGACCATGACAGATGTTGGAAATTTGAACTCAATTAAAAAAAAGTCTGGAATAAAGAGCCTAATGATGACCATGAAACCATTGTCAATTGTTGGGGGGAAAGAACCCACCTGGTTAATTAATGTCCTTCAGAGAAGGAAACTGTTGTCCTTATCTGGCCTGGCCAAAGTAGGACTCCAGACCCACAGCAATGTGGTTGACATGAAACTGCCCTCTTACAGTTAGAAATGGGGCAATAAATGCTGGCCTAGTCAGCAATGTTTGTCTGATTATCCATATTTACCTCAAGTTAATTCTTGATGCTAGAATATGTGAGTTCTATAAAGTAGATAATATTATAGTTCCTGCCTTGCTTAGTAAAGTCTGTTGTCATTTGTTGAAAATATCAGAATCTTGTAATTCTCTTAATAATTACCTGGGATCTCACATTTTATTGTTAAAACAAACTGACCGTAGCTGGATCATAAGGTGAATTTGGAAGTCTAATCTAGGCTCATCATAATTGCAGCCAGGAAAATCTCGAGGCTAACACAAGGGTACCTTGCATTGGATTCACCGAAGCAGAGGGCTCAGTAAAATCGTGAGGCTGTGGATTATGTTCCAGCAATTTGGATGTCCAGGCAACTTCATTCCAATCGCGCAACTGCTTCATGACACTGTTGAGTCAGAGGTCTGGAAAGGATGTCTTCAAAATTCAAATTTTGCTGTGTGACAACCCCCATAATATTTACAATCTAGAGGTGGTTATTCACTTCTTTGAAGAGTGATTGCTATCTAGGGAGCATATTCAATGCTGATTAAATGGAAAAATCTTTAACCTCAGTCACCACCTACACCTCCCCCCCCCCCCCCCCCCCCCACCCCGTATCTGAACAGCGCACTCTGTGGAGAAGCGGAGTCAATGACAGCAATTTCTGGATTGCTGTGTTTACCGTGGATTCTAGAAGTTGGTGTCAGTTTCACTGGTGTGAAAAAAAAACTTGAACATTAACTGTTCTGCAAACATTTCAATGCAAAGTCCAGGCCAAATTGTCTTCATTTTTGGTCATTGCTTCCTCTGCTTCACATCCACATCTTATTTAATGTGTCTAATATGGCATTTCACAGTTCTACCCTTGCTATCCATACTTACTTCAATATTAAGGGAGAGCTGAAAATGATGTTGATTTCACTTGGCTCGCAGTTTTCAACAGAAGTCTGGTGCACCTCCTAATATTGCTGTCTTGTTTGTTGTAATAGTGACACCAGATTTCTATTGACTTGAAGAGGTAAGTTTGACACATTGCACCTGAATCAGCCTACAGAAGCAGCAGACAATGCCAGAAGAGGTGAAATATGAGAAGAAACATCTGAGCAATCATGTCAGTCATGAATAAGCAATGAGGCACTTGGAAGTCAATCATTTTTTTAAGAGAAAATGTTGAAAACTCCATTAAACATAATGCGAAAGCTAATAATGGTCCCTACTTTAACCATTCAGTGGTTCTCACTCACCGCTTTCATCGGCTTGAATTTTTAAAAATATCATTTAAAGTGGCATAGCTTTACGTCTGCAATTTTCTCTCTGTTCAAGAATGGCAGCACGGCATCGCAATCAGGACAGGGGTAGAAGGGAAGTTTCCACACTGTTTAACAGAATTGGCAATCAACTCTTCAGTTTAAGCATCACCTACCTGATTGAATTGTTTGCTGCATCTGGGTCCCTTGCTGTCACCTCCCCAACAAAGCCACCAGCTTCTCTGTTTTCTTGGATCTTGAAAATATATTCAGGAGAGACAAAGACTGGTGGCTCATCAACGTCAAGCACATTGATTTTGACATTTGTGACATCTTTAAATGGTCCGAGGTTGAGGAGTCTGGGATCAATGTGTCTGTTGATTGCTACCACTCTGATGCTAAATCTCCCCTTGCTCTCGTAGTCCAAAGGCTGTTGCAAAGCACAGACACAGTTTCTGCTCTCCATTTTTCATCACTGGCTCCAAAAGCATTAGTTTATTGATCAGTCATGCATTACAAGACAAATCACCTGCCACTAACCTGATTAATCAGTCGCCTTATATTTAGACTTTTAACGAGTTTTGTCCTTTAATTTTAATTAGTTCCTGGAATGCGGGCTTCACCAGTAAGCAAGGCATCTATTAATTATTGCAAGGTACCTGTGGTGTGATACAAATGAGGTGGCTTGCGAGGCAGCTTTGGAAGGCAGTTGCGGGTGAACTCATTAATGCATACAAAACTCTTACATGGTTTGTCAAGTTCAGTGCAGAAAGGTTGATTTTCCCTTCCCGTGAAGAGGATCTAGAACCATAGGACACCGTCTCAGGATAAAAAGAAACCCAATTACGAGGTTAGGAGGAATTTCTTCACTCAGAGGGTGGTAAATCTTTGGAGTTTTCTGCCCCAGAGCCATAGTCACTGAGGGTGCCGCAGAGGTTGATGGATTTTTAGATGTTAAGAGATACCAAGGGATATGGAGATAGTGTGGGAGAATGGGGCTGAGGAGGAAGATTTAGCATATGGTGGAGCAGGTTCAAGGACTGAATGGTCTAGTCCTGCTCCAACTATCCTTGTTCCTCCTAGTGTGGGCCTTAAGTCTTGGCAAATCTTATATCTGCTGGAGTTGAGAAGCGTAGAAGACATCTTGATTGAGGTATACATGATGCTAGTGGGGTCGTGGCAGTGTAGATGTGGGGATGATATCTCCTCTTGTGGCAGGATCTGGAACTGGGGGAACAGTTTAAAAATCAAGAGTTGTTCATTTAAACACAGATGAGGGTAAGTCTATTCTCGCTGAGGTTACCGAGCTGTTGGAACTCTCTTCCTGACAAGAAGCTGGTGAAGCAGAACCTTTGAATACCTTGAAGGTAGAGCTGGATAGGTTCTTAAGTGAGGGGTTTGATGGGATATTGGGAGGTTGATGGGATATTGGGAGTGGATGGTAATGCAGGTTTCTGATTACAATCAGGTCAGCCATTATATTAATTGATTTAATTAAATCTAATTAAATGGCCAAATCCTGCTGGATGCTGTTATGATCAGTTACATATCAGCCCCAATAAATAAGAATGAATACTTCGCTTCTCTCAAGGGCGTCACTAATTCAGCAGCTTGATGGTCCCACTTTCTGATACTGACTTTATATTATTACACGCTGAATTCAGATTACTGCATTATTACACTTCACTGTACAGTTAACCATGGGTAAGATTCACATTGACAGTGCTTGGCATATTTAAGTGACAAATGGCTCAACCTAGGACTTCGGGCATGTAACTTCTGGACTGTCAAACTGAATAGAACTGTCTCTTTCCTTTTTACACCTTTTGGTTGCATTCACACCAACAGATCGGGATGCCCATAATTAACATTCATTTTCCCATTGAATACCGGATCAGAGGATGTGCCAATAGGGAGGGGATGTCCCTGAAATCAGCGCCTGGATGTTCCTGTGTGTAATGCATATGCAAATACATAATAAATGATTACCATTGTACACACACTCAATTTAATTATTCTAGTCAAAAATACACAACCTACTGAGTCACACCAATTCAAGCTTTACGTCATGATGACTCTGGTTTCACAAGAGCCAGTTAAACATATAATCAAGGACTGATTGAGGTTTTAAAGGTAAAATTGATATCGATTTGATTGTCCACAGAACTGAAGACCTGATAGAGTTTGCAGTGAGAAACTGTTTCCAGAAGTAGGGCAGGGCAGAGGGTACAGATGAAAGGTCATTGGCAAAAGAAATAGAGGCTGAGATAACCTTTTTTTCAATAATCTGTGGGGAAAAATAGTGATGTGGAAAGCACTGCCTGAAAGAATGGCAAGAGTAGGTTTAAAAGGGAATGGGTACAGTACTTGGGAAGGAGAGGCTCAGGGGAAAGAGCAGTGAGGTGTGACAGATTGAATACACCTTTCCAATAAACAGTAGAGGAACAATGGGTTGAATGGTCATATGCTGTGCTATCCCATTCTATGGTTTTCATCATAGAATCCCTACAGCGTGGAAACAGGCCCTTCAGCCCAACAAGTCCACACCGACCCTCAGAGTATCCCACCCAGACCCATCCCCCTAACCTAAACATCCCTGAACACTATGGACAATTTAGCATGGGCAATCCACCTAGCCTGCACATCTTTGTGACTGTGGAAGGAAATCAGAGCACCCGGAGGAAACCCACACAGACACAGGAAGAATGTGCAAACTCCACACAGACAGTCACCCCAGGGTGGAATCAAACCCAGGTCCCTGGCACTATAACGCTGCACTGCTAACCATTGAGCCACCGTGCCACCCTAACTTCTGTAATTAAAAAAAAACACCATATGAACATGAGAAATAAGAGCTGGCAAAGGCCATTCAACCTTTCAGCTCTGCTGTGCTATTTATTAAGATTGATTATCAGATCTTCTACCCTAAATTAGGGACAGGCAATAAATGCTGGCCCAGCGAGTGATGCCCACGTCCTACGAGTGAATTAGTAAAATACTTCACCTCTCGCAACATCCCCCTATCCCCCGATATCTTTGGTCCCCAAAAACAGAAACACATTAACAGAGAAAGCAGGAGCTGGACTATACAGCCCACTGAGCCCAATCATACTTCAACAGGATCATGGCTGATACCTTAGATTAACCTATATTCCCATGCTCTGCCTATATTCTTTGACATCTTTAGCCTCCAGAAGTCTATCCATTTCTGTCAGTGGCTTGGCCTCCAAATCTTGCTGTGGTTGAGAATTTCATAGATTTACCACAGTCTGGTTGAAGAAGTAACACAGTGTGGAGCTGGAAGAAGACAATAGCCCAAGCAGCATCAGAGGAGCAGGAAAGTTAACGTTTCAGGTCAGGACCTTTCTTCAGAAATGGGGGAGGGGGAAGGGAGATTAGAAATAAATAGAGAGAGGAGGGGTGGGAGTGGGGAAGGTAGGTGGGATGGTGATAGGTGAGTGCAGGTAGGCAGTGGTGGGGATTGGTCAGTGAGGGTGGAGGAGCGGATAGGTGGGAGAGAGATGGACAGGTTGTGTCATGTCAAGGAGGTGGGGATGAGAGGGAGGGTTGGTCAGGGGATGAGGCTGGGGGTGGGGAGACTTTGAAACTGGTAAAGTGCACATTTAGGCCATTGGGTTGTGTCATTGTGACACTGGAGGAGGCCCAGGATGAACATGTCACCCAGGGAGTGGGAGGGGGAGCTGAAATGGTTCACGACCGGAAGGTGTTGTCTCTCCCAACTATCCTCTCCTCCCACCTCACTGACCAATCCCCACCACTGCCTACCTGCACTCACCTATCACCATCCCACCTACCATCCCCAGCCCCACCCCTCCTCTCTCTACTTATTTCTGAGCTCGCTTCCCCCTCCCCAATGCTGAAGAAGGGTCCCGACCCAAAACATCAGCTTTCCTGCCCCTCTGATGCTGCCTGGCCTGCTGTGTTCATCCAGCTCCGCACTTCGTTATCTCTGACTCCAGCATCTGCAGTTCTTACTATCTCTGGTTGAAGACGTGTCTTTTTGTCTCAATCCAGAATGGTCTAGGACACTCCCTGAGAGAGAGGCCCATTGTTCTAGGGCCCTAAGCCAAGGGAAACATAATCCCTGCATTCAGTCTGCCCAAGCTTGTCAGAATTTTATATGTTTCAGTGGGATCTCCTTCCCTTCTTTTGACCTCCGGTGAGTACAGGCCTAGCCAACTCAACCTCTCCTCATATGAAAACCCTTGCCATTCCCAGGAGTCAGTCGGGTGAGACTTCATTGTGCTCCTTCTACAGCAAGTATGTTATTTTTAGGGAAGGAAACCAAAACAGAATATAATACTGAACAGGGTGGTAAAGAAGGCATTTGGCACGCTTGCCTTTATCGGTCAAACCATTGAGTAGAGGAGTTGGAATATTCAAGTTACGACTGTACAGGACATTGGTAAAGCCACGTTTGGAGCACTGCATACAATTCCAGTCGTCCTGCTATGGGAAGGATGTTATTAAACTTGAAAGGGTGCAGAAAAGAGTTACAAGGATGTTACTGAGGCTGGAAGGTTTGGGTTATAAGGAAAAGCTGGATAGGCTGGGACTAACTTTTCTGGAGCATAGGAGGCTGAGGGGTGACCTTACAGAAGTTTATAAAATCATGATGGCAGAGATAAGGTGAATCGCCAAGGTCTATTTCCCAGGGTAGGCAAGTCCAAAACTAGAGGGGCATAGGTTCAAGGTGAGAGGGGAAAGATTTAAAATGGACCTGAGGGGCAACTTTCTCACACAAAGTGGTGCACGTATGGAATGAGCTGCCAGTGGTAGTGGTAGAGTCTGGTCCAATTACAACATTTAAAAGACATTTGGATAGATACATGGATATGAAAGATTTAGAGGGATATGGGTCAAATGGAGGCAAATGGGACTATTCCAGTTTAGGAAACCTGGTTGGCTAGGACGAGTTAGACCAAAGGACCTGTTTCTGAGCTCTATGACTCTATGACTCTACTCCAGGTGTGGTCTCACCAAGGCACTATACAGCTGCAACAAGACATCTTAAGCATGTTGATAATCATAGGGCAGGCAATGGCCTAGTGGTATTATTGCAAGACTATTCATCCAGAAACCCAGCTAATGCTCTAGGGACCTGAGTTCAAATCCCACTACAGCAGATGACGGAATCTGAATTCAATAAAAAAAAAGTGTCTGGAATTAAGAATCTGCTGATCACCATGAAATTGTTGCCGATTGTCAAGAAGAACCTTCTCTAATGTCCATTAGGGAAGGAAATCTACCATCCTTACCTGGTCTGGCCTACATGTGACTCCAGACCCACATCAATTGCCCTCTGAAATGGCCCAGCAAGCCATTCAATTGTACCAATCACTATTATCAAAGGCAGCTATGGATGGGCAAGAAATGCTGGCCAGCCAGTGATGCCCACATCCCACAAAT